TCATTTAACTCAATTACAGAAAATCCGTAAATATCCAGAGATTTAATATGTACTTTTTAAAGAAACAAGTAAAAATCCTACAATTGTGGCGAAAAGCCATTGCCCATTGCATGAAAAGAAGCAAAATAGCAATGATAACAAATAAGCTGACTTCTCTCTCGTGAACCGTGGAGATGAACTAAGATATACTTTTTTGTATTGACTAAAGAGTTTAATCGATCAAACAAGTTTGACGCTGGTAAGAAAACGACGCACATCTGCATTCATACATGTGTAGCCGACATATAGCTCTTTCGTCGATAGTTATAAATGCATCCTTGTGAGCAGATAACTGACAACCACAGTTGACTCGCTGTTATGAATTTAAGGTTTTTACCTTCATTTTCATCAAAAAATTGCTTGCCGAATCCCAAATACACACATACATTTTCGTCACTCTTTTCTCAGGAGGGAGTGGGAAATTGTGAAATTTTCGGAAAAGCGGTCAATTTCGGTAAATCTCAGCGGCAACGGACGAAATCCGCCATGTTTTTTACAACATGCGATATCTAAAGCCGCGCTTAAGATAGCCGCTCCAGTTATTATAGAACTCAATGATACTAACGCGCGAAAACCACTTTGCGGTAAGTTTTTCCTGTGACGGCACTTGGCAAACATTTCGGATCTTCTGTTCAGGAGATTCTTATGGTTTATATTTATAATATTCATTTTCTCCTCCAAACACAGACAACATGACTTACTTCATGCTTTCCTTACTGGAGAGCACTTTACTATATACCTTGTGATATTATAGGGATTACCTTCTTCTTTAAGTTCTCATGCATATTTCGAAAGTTCAGTCTCATTTCTCATTTCTTTGTCTTTACGCCATTATATCCATAGAAATGAGACTGAAGTGTGTATATTTTAATTCGTATAAAATGATTGATTTGAAAAGAATAAAATGGGACAAAAATATACATAAATTATTCTGAGATCTTCTTTTTATAAAGTCTTGTACGTAAGAGAATCTTAGTATTGTCTAAGTTATAAACAGTCAACACTCAAGTTTATAAAATAACCAAAAAGACTCACCTCAATTTTTGCATTTGCCGACATCACATTCATTTTTGCTCTTTCTCTTAAAAGTTTGGATGACTCATTTTCCATTGATTCACAAGAGACCAACAAAACCAATACAATGCAGATAATTTCATGCCTATACAACGAATGATTAAGTATTCATAATTCACGAGAAAAGATATTTTTTCATGAGGAAATTTTATCATTTTCAATATATTCATTAATCATTATTTGAGATACTTTAATTTGATTTTCATAAACTTGAGTTACCCATGTTTACGATCATTATTTGCTTTCTTTCTTCTTCTTACATTTCAAGTACTCCAGTGCCTTTTAGTTGTACATTCATTATCAGGGTCCTTTTTAACTATATAACTGGGGCATCGAAGGCCCCCCAAGCCTTACATTACCCCCCCTCCTTTCCACTAATGGATTTTTGCTCCCTTGTAGGTATAAGACGTTTTCCTTTACATAACAATAAACAGTTGGGATGTATGTGAAGTAGATTACTTTTATGTAATATGGTGTAAAGGAAATTTAGACGACGGCTATATTGATCCGTTTGATTAGAATAAAATCAGTGGCGGATCTAGGGTCAATAAAAATAAATTACTGCTGGACATATTGGAATATATTTTCATTTCTAAGACCTTCAGAGGCAAGTCCATTGGGGAAATTATATTCTTTAGAAATGCAAAACCAATAGTGCTTTTCTGAAAGTTCTTTAAGTTTCAAATTAAACAGCTTTAATTTATGTTGCCCGCTGCTGCTCGTTGTAACTACCCCTATATCCGCTACTGTATAAAATGAAGTATATCGCTCACATGGATCAGGGACGGATCAAGAGTATGTCAAATCCGTCGCGCGACTGATGTTTGAAATTCAAAAATTACCTATTCATACTAATTAAAAATTTATTAACTTTTCCGACTTTATTATCGCATTTACTTCGTGATAAAAATCCAGCTTTATTTATTATTGAAAACTAATGACTAATCCAATGAATATCTCGTTGGTAACCAGATCAGTTGAATTCTAATTAACCTGGAATAACCGACTGATAAGCGGGGTGGCTTGACTTGTTCGACTGATAAAGGAGTCTACGAACGCCAAAAACGCTTATTTTATTGGTCAATGGCCAGATCAGTGGACAGTCTGGAATGGTCTCGACCGATAAGAGGGGTGGCCGGACGTATAAAGGAGTCCAATTGCTATCTTACAATTGGTTCATTTAAATTTTTGTTTTGTTGTGATTGGTTTGACGGATTTCGACTGATAGCCAACTGAACTAACATAGTCAAGCTCACTGTCTGAATTGAATGTTTGACCGTTTAATAGTAATTTTCATAAGCATGATAGAAACTAAACTACAATCAGATGGAATTTATGGAAATCTTTTACAAATTCATATTTTGACATCAATGCTGCTGTCGAAACTGTGAACTTTTTCAAGAGGGTGAAAAATTTATGGATAAATTGTAAATGCTTGGCAAAGACGATCTCGCGAACGACATTTCAGTCATTGATTTTCAAAAAAAAGCGAACATTGTTTTGAGTTTTATCAGCAGACATTTATATCCAAAATCGTAAGTAAAGGACAAGTGAAATGTATGCATGAATGTAATATATCAAAGTCAATTTATGCGAGTGTGTGATGCGATTTATGTCAATATGGCATATGGTAAGCAGATTGAAGCTTCTAAAATTGTTGTTGCCGAAGGACTTTTAGCTATTATTTCTTTAGTGCTTGGGACATCGTGGCCGTTATATGGCAGCGAAATCCTACATTCCTGCAAATATATTTCAATGGACCAAAAATCTTTAGCCATAAGGCGCCATACTATTATTTACTTTATCATAAACAAATGTTTGGGGCTTTTCAGTTTATGATCATTGATCATTCAATCATTGGACAGTTATACTACATATTGTTTAAGATTTGAGAAAACTAACATTGATTACATGAGAAACTGTTTACAATAACCTGTGATTTTGAGTTTTTTCTGATGCATGAAGCTTTTTATTTTGACAATTTGACTGGAATTGTATTAAACCTGAGTATTTCACATACATGAAATGTTGTCCCATGTCACATATTGTCCCCTTTTTTAACTGAACACCTCATGTAGAGATGTGAAGGTGTTTTAATGCAGAAAAAGAAAGCAGGGAGCAACTTATGGAAAAGCAAAACAAGCAATTTGAGAGTTTTATGGAAATGCAAAGACAGCAGTACCAACAAATGCAACAAAATCAATTGCTTTTGCTACAACAACAACAACAACAAAGGCAAGCTTTGATTTCCCTTTTGGCTGAATTGGTTGAGATATGAAATAACAATGTCTGTTACTTGTAGACAATATGCTTTCTTTAAAAAGTTATTTATTGATTGTCGATAGGCTTTATAATCACATGATGAAGCTTTTGAAATTTTTTTTAAATAACAGCTTTTAAAAAATTAAGAAAAGTACATTTGAATTGAAGGTGGTTCAAGTTGAAAAAATTTACTGGTTGTATTTGAGTGCAAGCAGGTCAGAGCATTTCTAAGCAATGAAGCCACTATATACATTTTTCCAGCACAACTAAGGCTGATTTTTAGATAATTTTTAAAATCAAGAAACTTAAAATAGTTTATTATGTCCCCAAAAATCCACTCAACTGATATCCTTACAGCACTCATTGATTTGTTAAATTCTTGCATGTGGATTGTAAGTTGCCTGTTCCTATATGGTGCCTGTAGGTGCATACGTAATGGGTAGGCTGGATCACCATACAAGCACATGGGTTTATCATTGTAAAAGGCATACAATTGTAGATCCTGCAGTAGCCCTGATGAGGCTAACATAGCAGAATCGTGCCTTTTTCCTTCTATAAAACAAAAAAATAAATGAAACTCAAAGTAAACATAAGGATATTAGTCAAATGATGTGCTTACCAACTGGTCCAAACAAAATGGCTATCATTCCGTTAGGAAGAGTGATCGATTGAAACTTTATAGCATGTACCCTCTTATGACCATTGTATAGTAAACTTTGCATTTCATCTGGACGGCAAATTGGCCTCACTGTGCCATCAATAAAACCAAAACAATTGTCTAAAGCTCCTCCTTTCTGGTGAATTGCTTCAGCATAAATTTTCAAGTTATTGCGACTCAGTAGATCGTGATTCCAATTTGTTATTTTTTCCCCATGCCTTTCTTAAATAAAATCTATCACAGAATTGGTAATCATGCTAAGTTCAGGCACAGATCTACAAAATTGAGGTACCAAGCCACTGTATCTGCAAGGATAAGCAAAACGACGAAGGGCTATGCAAAGAGCCTCCAATCCAGTGCAAACTGTTCCTTGCTTGCACTTGAATCGGTAAGGCAAACCTAAAGCACAGAATAAATACATACAGAAGCGCCACTCAGAGAAAAATCTGTCCTCTACTTGTACCCAGTTCTTAAATGCGCATCTTTTGCGTCCGCCATTACTCTAGCCAGATAAACTGGCCAGAATGTGTATAGATTAGTATTATGGAGAGTTGTTTTTCATAAAATTTATGGGTTTTGATTCACATATGGACAACAATTTTAATGCCTTTAAGCAGGATATAAACGAAATAAGGTAAGAAATAGTTTTAATACAATATATGTTCGTCATTCGTATTCTACGGGTTTTATAAGTTTCTTTCATTGAATTGTATTGGTTAAGAGATCAATGTTTTTACAACGTATATGCTATTGAAAGGCAATTTGTTGAGTCATGCTCATATACCACAAAAAACATGTTAAGGAAATAGTATGTGCGTAGTTTAGTTTATCAATGTATCCGTTCCCACACAGCTAAGAGCCAAGGAACAGTTATTGACGTTATATAGCTTAAACAGAGGAACTACTCCGACAAATAATAATATTTGTTGTTTGTAATAAAGACTATAAATACTGCTCTGTAAAATAATGAAAATCAGTTCGATCATTAAGTTCACTCGTGGTTGTTACTGAAGGTATAGAGTATAGTAAGAAAGAGATATGGCGAGTAACTCGAACTCAACACAATTTCCCAGTAGATTTGTCGTTTAGGACTAATAAAGGTATTTTTTAATGTATTTTGCCTTAATATTTTTCTTTTTATTTTCTACAATAGATTTTCATAATAGAATGGTCAATGATTTATTACTAAATAGCAGAAATTACACGACCTACTGTACACGAAGAATGCTGTTGTGATGAAGACGCAGTTATTTTAGAATGTGGATGACTATCTTTATAAAACATTAAAGTACTTCTATGTTTGATGTTTGAATTCAAGTTTTTTGACTTGTTATTTTGCATTGCATCTGCATCATTGTAAATGAAACTTTGTAATTTAATCTTGTTTGTCAAATCTGTATATGTTTAACAATAAAGTTGTTTCTTAACTCATTTTTTAATAGAAAACTTGGAAAGTTTTTGCTGTGCAAATTTGCATGTTTAATTAGTAACCAGGACCATCATTCATTTTGTGCTGGAAAGCTATACAGTTATTGCAAGGTTTTTATGTGCTACTCTGTGTGTCATTCATACACAAATATTTCATGGCAAGAGAGAACAAACTAAAGGGTGGGTCAAGAACTCGTTGTGCTGCCATCAACTGCACACAAAGCAAACGAACTCGTCCTGATTTAAGTTTTTTTCGTTTTCCAAAGGATATGGAGAGGTAAGGGTATTTTTTGTTTGCAAGTCTTATGGATGTTTTGTTTAATGCTGATTGGGCAATAAAGTTTTTAAGCATTTCTTTGTATTTTAGATCAAAGGAATGGGTAAACAATTGTCGTCGTGAAGATCTTTTGGACAAAAGTGCAGAATATCTTTACAAGAATTGTAAACTGTGTGCAGATCATTTTGAGTACTGCATGTTCACCAGCATGGAAAAGAAGAGATTAAATCCTCAGAGTAAGCCAACTCTATTCAAAATTCCCATTCCTCCACCCCAAATTGGGAAAAAACGAAGGGCAATTGAAAGAAAAGAAATTCAATATGTTCCATCAGGTAAATAAGTAATTTTTCACATTTTATTTTCTAATAGATTTCAAGTAAGTTTAAATAGAACAATGAAACACTATTTTTACAAAAAATGAGGAAAAGAATTCTTAAAAAGTATTCACATAATTCACTTGGCAAGCTACATAGAATGAAGTAGATAAAGAAACAGGGAGAACTGAATGATTACAAAAAAAATTTGATTGCAGCAAAGAAATCTCGACATGAAGAAATAGCCGAATCAATCAAATGAAAATGAAGAAGGTAAAATGTAATGGTTTTGCAACAGCTAGATTACATTAAGATTTTTTAACAAAATTTTTCAATGACCATAAATTTTCTTTAGACAATCCACCTGAGTGTTCAAAACGAGATTTCAGTGGTCAAACATACCAATCTCTCTCAGATAACACCCCTAGGAAGAGAAAACAAAAAAAAATTCAAACTAAGAATAAAAAAATACGAAGGCTGAGCAGAAAGATTAAACATCTGGTGAAAGAGAAGGATATCGAATTCACATTAGAAGCTGCACTAAAAATCATGCCTGGGCATCTAGCCAGCTTTATAAGGTTACAAATGAAGCTCCACTCAAGAAAGAAACATGGTCGAAGATAATCACCAGAATTGCAATCATTAGCTGTTTCTTTATGCCATGCTAGTGGAAAAGCATACAAGCTTCTATCAAAGCTTTTTATTCTGCCATCAATGACATCAATAAGAAGATTTGTTTCAAGAATTCCTATGAAAACAGGCATACCACAAGCAACATTAAACCTATTAAAAGAGAAAGTTCTACATATGAGTGAAATGGAAAAGACATGTACATTATGTGTTGATGAGCTATCTTTAAAGACCCACCTTTACTACAATATCACAGATGACAACATAGTAGGTGTGGAAGAATTTGGTGGTGGGTGCAGAACAAACAAAGTTGCAACATCTGGTCTTGTGCTAATGTTAAGAAGTGTTTCTGTGGGGTGGAAGCGACCATTGGGTTATGTACTTGTCAACGAGTCCTGTCCTGTTGATGTTTTGGAAGAAATAATCAAAGAAGTCATTGATAAATTGAAGGGAGTTGGATTGAATGTCCTGGTCATTACATCAGACATGGGGTCCAACTTCTATAGCTTATCTCTACGCTTAAATGTAATTTGTGACCAACCATGGTTTCTGCACAATAACAAAAAAGTCTACCTCATGTTTGATCCACCACATCTAATAAAGTGCACAAGAAACAATCTGATAAACTACAATTTCCAATTTGGACAACATGTTGCCAGTTGGAAGGACATAGAGAACTTCTATGTAAAAGACAAAATGCTATCCATCAGAACTGCTCCAAAGTTGACAGATAAACACATCCATCCAACTAACTTCCAAAAAATGAAAGTCAAATATGCTACACAGATTTTTAGTCATACCGTTGCAGGAGCTATTTGCACATATGTCAGCTTGGGAGGTTTATCATCTTGTGCCAGTGGAACTGCAGAGTTTCTCTTTAAGTTTGATTCCCTCTTTGATTGTGTAAATAGCTCCAAGCTAAAAGCAATGAAAGAGTTGAGAAGACCAATCACAACAAAGAGTTCACACATTAGATTTTTGCAAGAATCCTTACAATTTATTAAAAAAATTAAAGTTTTCAATGGCAATGAGGATGTAACAGGCAGGATCAAATCTCTAAAAGGTTGGTTGGTTACAATTAGTGCAATTATAAACATCTGGAGTACATTGCAAACCGCCCACAACTTTACTTACCTACTTACCAGAAGGCTGAACACCGACCCACTTGAAAATTTTTTCGGAAGCATACGACAACAAGGGGGGAATTGCGACAACCCCACACCAATACAGTTATTTGAAGATAATTCATGGATGCCCTCTTAGTTCAATGCTCAACAGCAAATATATCAAAGCCAAAACATGTAGAGAACATGCCACAATCCCATCCAAGCATTCTTTCAATAGGACCAGCAGATTATAGAGAACAGAATGTGACTTCTAACATCATTCAAGATAATGCTGTAGCTTATGTTGCTGGCTACTTGCTGAAAAAATCATTCAAAATGCACAGCTGTGATGAATGCAAGAGAATTTTGACATCAAATGATTTTGACAGTGATCAACAGCTTTTCTGCTATTTCAAAGCATATGATAGTAAGAATTTTGGTGAGTTGAATGTCCCGGCTAGAAGATACCTGGAATACATAAAGACACTGGAAGATACTTTCGTCAATTGCTTTTCTGCTACAACGAAAAATTCCTACGTTGGGGCAAATATATTAAAAGTCCTCCAGGCAATTCCACCAGTTGATGTATGTACAGAGTTCTCACATGATTATTTGTTAAAGCTTTTTGTCCGAATGCGTATCTATTACGCTATCAAATTTGCAAATCGTGACTTTAGCACCACCAAAAGGAAATGTCGGAAATATATAAAAGTCAAACGTCTTTAAACTAAACAAAATTGAAGAATTTAATGCAGAGCAGGTTTATTCACAGTCCAAGAAAAAACATAGACAAATAAACTGACCTTTACCTCTAGAACTTTGATGAACAGCCAGGACAGACGACATGTCGTCCTTATTCAAGTTCTACTTTGAATGTTTCTACGAACACTTATTTTTCAAATACGATATCGAATTGACTGATAAGACATAGAAGACTCGCTGCGATTTACTGTCTCTACTCGAAAAACGCAAAAAACTGCCAATGTGCCGAACTATTTTAGTTTTTGGTTAAAAACTTGTCCTTGGCACTATAAATTACATTGCGATCTGGCTGCATTTATCTGGCTGGAAACATGGCCGCCGTGTAAAGTTCCCCGGATGCTGGGGACACGAACATCAAAGGTTCCGACATCGAGTGGCGCTTCTTTATGTATCTATTCTGTGCCTAATGCTTCAGCAAGCAGCGGTATTTCATGCTTTTTAAAACGAAAATCCAAAGAACAGGTAACTTCGTCTATTTCTTCCAGATCAAATGATGGATAATCGTTGTGCATTATTTCAGGATTTTTCGAACGGCAAGCATCGTATAGCAAGACAAATTCCTCGTCATTAATTAAAGCTACATCATAGGCAAAAGCGATAGCAGTTCTTGCATTTCTGAATGACGACATTTTTAAATACTCTAAAATGATGTTGCTGAAGCTACACACGTCGTGCAGTCAAAAACGTAAGTCAAAATCTATAATCCAAGCCGACGCGTCTCGCCCCAGGACGTGCGAGCACAAGTAGCGTCGTTGAAAAGCGCGTCGTAAAATCTTAAGGTCCCTTTTGTGAGACACACTGCACAGCACTTCAGGAACAAATTAAAAACTTAAAATAAATTATCAAGCAATACAATGTTACTACTCTAGCTGACAGGTGTCGCACTACATTCCGTACAATCAAACAAAGGAGCACTTATATGTATAATATGTTTTTGCATTATCAAAGCATAAAAAACATACAGTAGTGCCACTCCATTGAATTTTTTAGGTGAAAATCTTAAGGTAGTGTAAGCCGTAAGCTTGTTGCTTTTCGCTGCTGCGAAATTTATAAAAAAGGCCCTGCTGACTCTAAGATTGCATAGAAAGAACGACTGATTATATGAATGTCAAACAACCTGCACGTGAATACTAGTTTGTGATGAAATAATTGATTGTAATTTTGTTGCAAAACATGTTGTACAACAATCTATTGATGTGATAGCTATGTGGCAGCAGTTGAGGACCATAGGAAAATGTAGTTTTTGTGCAAAGGGTTACAATAATCTTGCATGGTTTGAAGTCTGAGCTTTTCTTTATCTATGAACTGTCACTTGCAGTACAAAATTTCTAACTTAACTTATTACGTAGAGGCTTGAATGGGGGTCTCTAGAGGGGTCTATGCCTGACAACTTGGTGGAAATTTCTAAAGACTATGTCTGTTTTTGAATAGCATTATTGTAAAATAAATTTTACGTTCCTAGACATGCTAATGAGCCATATATTTGGCCTGATAATGAGCGTAAATATTTGGCAAAACATTCAAGTATTGTTCACTTCATTTTGTTTTTTTTAAAAAAACGAAAGCAAATCGTGTTGTTTTTACTCAAAAACAATGCCTACAAAATACATTTTGTATTGCTCTAAAACACTGAAAATGGCATTTTCAAAGGTCTAAAATTCAAAGTTTGTCAGGGGAGAATGCCTCAGACCCCCCCAGGTGCGGATCACTTATGACTGATGTTTGAAAAATCCTCGCAATTGAAAATTCCCTCCTAAGCTTCTTAATGACAACAGTTTTTCTGCATTGCACATTGCTCGGTGTATAGACACATAACCATAACTATCACTACCACTCTCAAGCATATTTTGCACCAAACTCCAGCTGAAAGTAGGCAAACCTTGGTAAACGTTTCTTTTTTTCGTAAGAGATAAATGTTTAAATCTTCCC